GGATGACAAAACAAATGGGAACCATGACAGAACTCCAAGACCACTTTTTTCAAAAAATTCGGGCACAATCATTAACAAAATCCTCTGGGGTTTGATGATTACAGAGAACATCTCTCACTTCCTTCTCTAAATCAACCATAGTGACAGAACATCTCACTGACTAAGGTATCACATACTTCTCTGTACCACCGGAACTCTGTTCATCTGACTCAAACGCTCTGGACCAAGCATCACGTTTAATATCCCTGGTTTGTAAGACAATGAAAAGTTTAAATGCCCAAAAAAGTGCCAACCTTGCCTGTCTGGGGATAAGTCGCTTAGCCAACTTCTGGTATTCAAAGTCCAAAACACAGAAATAATCTTGGACCCCTCCAACCACTGTCTCCATTCCTCCAGAACCAGCTTTATCGCCGTAGCTCCTGATGCCCCACATCATAGTTCCACTCTGGGCTTGAAAGTCCCTTGGAGAAGAAGGCACAGGGGTGAATCTTAATGTCCCTTGCTTCTTGGCTGAGGACCACCCCAACTCCAGTACTGGAGGCATTCACCTCCACAATAAATTGTCTTTTCGATTGTGGGAAACCAAAACAGGTGCAAAAGTAAACAAAGTTTTGAGTCTCTGAAAGGCTCCATCAGCATGTTCATTCCAAAAGAACTTAATCTTATCTGAAATGAAGGCATGAAGGGGTGCAGCTATCTGACTGTAGTTTCTGTTTAACTTTCTGTAGAAATTAGCAAACCCCAAGAACCTCTGCAGTTGCTTTCTATCTTTAGGAACAGGCTAGTTGGTATTGGGGCTCACATATGGTCCATGGCAATCTGATCAGGGGAAACCACAAAACCCAGGAATGACATAGTATCAACATGAAATTGATATTTCTCAGCTTTAACAATGAGCTGATTCTGCTAGAGGTGCAATAGAAAAGCTCTGACGTGCTTCTTATGGGAATCCAAATCGTGAGAGTAAATAAGAATGTAATCCAGATAAAAAAAAAACACAATGTACCACAATATCCCTGAGTACCTCATTTACTAAAACAGCTGCGGCGTTACTGAGGCTGAAAGGCATGACCAAATATTCGTAACAACCTGTTGGAGTGTTGAATGATGTCTTCCACTCATCGCCCTCGCGAATACATACCAAATAGTACACATTGTAGATCAACTGGTTCAAAATGGCCATCCAAGGCTATTACCTTGTGGGAATCCAGTGATGGAAGAAGCCTTATACCCAGTGGTCTGGCAAAGTCCCCATCCATAAATTCAGTATCAGTACCAGAGTCCACAAATGCAGACAGGTTATGACTGCAGGAATTAACTGACAAAGTTACAGGAAGCAGAAGATCAAAGGACACAAAAAGTTTGGTGTGGTTAAGCAGGATATATTCTGTATATTCCAGTATAGATCCATCTCCCTGTATAAGTGACAGAAGTCCTCTAGAAGCCTCCCTTCTGGGAAAAACAGGGCAGAACTAGAACTTAAATGAACTAGAATTATTTTGCTATTCAGATGTTCCCCACAACTTTTACCCCGTTTACACTACCCTTAAAAAACTGAGCCGAGACCGGTCCGAGCTCAGTAACTGAGATAACTTGTCGTGTGTGAACGAAAACAACCTGAACTGAACCGAGATAAACATAACCGGACCGCGCTAACTGCAGACCAGTTCCCGAGGTGGGTTCGGCTCGGTTTTTTCCTGGCTCGGTTCTCTGATAACAAGAGCGCATGAGCAGAACGCGTCATCGCCGACTGGCTGAACATGCCGATTCACACTCCATTCCAGAAAGTCGGCTTCCCAAAAGCCGACTTTCTCAAGTACATCCGCGCAAGGTTGCCGTCTTCGCCTGACCCACCGCAAACACGGAAGTACAGCAATAATAATCAAGCATAACTTTCTGAATGTGACGGGCGCCGCCATTTTGATTTGCTTGATTCCCTCCTCCTTCGTCTTCTTCTTCTTGGGTTTTACGGCGGTTGACAAACAGCGTTTGGTGCATTACCGCCACCAGCTGCTTGAGTCCCTCCTTCAATTCTAGCAGTAATACCGCACATCGTCACTAGGAGGCGAGGAGTCGAGGCGTCGAGATAACCGAGATAAGTGTGACGTGTGAACGGTCGTCAAAACTGAGCTTGGCCTGGTTACCGATCCAAGCTCGGACCGGTCTCGGCCTGGATCGGTTTTTCAAGGGTAGTGTAAATGGGGCTTTTGCTTTATTGGCTAAGCCCAACATTGATCAGAGTCAGTCTTAAACAGTTCAGGGGAAACAGACAATTTTGACAATCTGATCTGACAACAGGTGACATAGATGCTGATGCTGTCATGTGGAAGCAGTGGTGTCCTGATTACGCAAATGTGTTCCTGTATGTCTGATTCGAGTTGAGATATACATTCTTCTACGTCCAAACGCTACTTTCTTCCAATGGCCAGATTATTCTGTCAATCAATCAAGCCAGTCATCAGCACTAAGATCATAACAGACAGAGTGAAGGAATGGGAAAATAACTGTTTGTTTAACTAAAATATTCAGAAAAAGTACAACATTTTCTCAGAGATTTAAAGCAAAAATTTTGCATGATCAACATAGTTGAATAAGTCCATTAAATATAAACAAGATTTCTGAACTTTTTCCAACTGTTTTTTATTAATTTTGTATTTAGTTTTTATTTTTATGTTTTGACTCTCCTTCTTAATTTCCTATAGCCTGACGTAGTCCTACTCAATTCTAGTCAGAATATGAGTCTGATACTGCTCCATAGAGCTGTTATTATGGGGCGTGTTTCGAACGAACCAGGAAAAAAATGCCTCTGCACTCAATTGGATAGATCTACAACCAATAAGAGCAACGGAGTGCGTGACATATGTTAAGCGACGCATAGTTGTTGTCAACAAAAATCAAAGAGTGCAGTTGCACGCCTAGAATAAGAAGATGAGCCTTGATCGCGTTTCTCTGTTCCTCTTTTAAAATTAATTTGCTGTCGATATCTTCTAGAACAGACCTAATAGCAGAATCTACTCACCCAAACTCTCCAGCGGCAGCCATTGTTGTTGCCACCCAAGCGCACTTTGGTGACGTTGTTGATTACGTTACTCTTGATCATCTGTCCATCATCGTATAAAGCCCGCCCTGACAATTTGATTGGCCCGCAGGATATTGTGTGAGCATACTCGCGCTACTATTGAGCAATGCCAGACCGAACTTCCCGACCTCAAAGGTTGTGGGCGGGACTAGGTTCGGAATGGCACCCAGGCTAAATTTCCTACAAAGTTTACATGACTCTGCAATCCAACAGGTCCAAATATTCAGAGAAGAGACAGTAACTCAGAGATATGAGATTCAGGGAGGTGAAGGATATTAGTTGATGTATAAATGGAGAACAACCAGCAGAAACTCTCAAACTTCTAGTAAATACAGGATCAGCAGAGTTCCTCATTACTACAGTGGAGAAACAGCAGCAGGGCTAGAAGAGACTATGAGCTAACAGGGTGGAATGATACCTTCAAGGTGTGTTCAAATTAAAGATGAACTTTTTGCCATGAGCAAACAAATTACATGTATTTTGGGGCGCAGTACAAATAGACTGGACAAATTCCAAACTGACCCCTAAACACAACCCCTATGCACTAATCTCTGCTTTCGGTTTTCCCGCGAAAGGCTGGGTAGGATAAGAGGACTGCTCACCCATTAAATCTGCATCAGTGCAGACTCGCTGGAATTTGGTTGTGGGAGAAACACCTTCATTTAAGAGTTAGTTCCACTGGTGTGCCGTATCTCTGCCACACTGACAGAAACCCACAAGTTATGAAAAAGAAAAATACGTTACTATTTCCAAAAGGGGAATTCTTCTTTAAATAGTTGCATTTTACCCTATCAATTTATTTTCAAGAAAGGGGCAAATGCTTGAATTCATGTTTGTATGTGTTTGTTTCGCAAACAATGGAGCTGAAAGATTTCATCCTGAGTGCAGCTCAGCACTGACTCAATTTTATTCCAACAAACACTTGTTGATTCGCAAAAAATGCTTTCAATGAGTAGGCCTACCGGTACTGGGGATTGACTCCTAAGCTATACTTTTTTTTTTTCACTTTTAAGGGATAAGCCTATAGGCCCTCTCTTAGAACCTATTGCTGTTGGGTTAAAGGCAGAGCAGAATGGATTCTATATACATCTGACCAGAGCACAAAAATTTTTTTATAACTCAGAGTTAGATATAATAATATAGTCCCATTTCTAAAATTAAACAGAAACAGAAGGGCATGGTATTTTTAAGTTTCCAGCTTCTATGTGTAAAAAAAATGACCTAATTTATCTACTTTAAAAATGATATGCAACATGGAACCTCAAGAACGTATATAGAGAGAGTTTTGATAGGAGCAACTGAGACTTTGTAGATTATTAATGTTGCTCCCCATAAGGATGTAAACAAGCAATATATTTTGGATTTTTATTTTTTTTATTAATTTCTGACATAGAGAGCATGTGCTGCTCCCATGGGAGAAAATGGGACAGTGACATGAAGCATCAGCGACAGGACCAAGAAGGTGCATTTTCAAATGATTTTCCAGTCACAGACCTATGAGATATTTTCACCTGTTCTGTGATGGCAGCCTGTAAATTAATATATAATTTAACATCACAACGTTAAATTATTTATTAGTCTAAGCAATAAATATGACAGTAAAAATCTTCTTTACTGGTGTATTTGCTTCAGATTCATTATTAAATTCTATTTTCTACTAAAAGGAAGCATAATATTTTATCTCCTAATTATGTTCAAACTAATATTTTACATGATGTCAGCCTTTTTCAGAAATCAGTTTTAATGTTTTGAATTCACTATGTTATTAATATTTCTTTTTTTTTAAATTGCTGTAATAATATGAAATTTCTCATATGCTATTAGGTCAATGTACCGATTTATTGATTTAATTTGTTAAGTTAAACAGACTTTTTTGTTCTAAATGTTTCTGTTCTAATCAGATATTTCTTCATGTTAGTAGTTTCCATTAAACCCACTGTGACTCTGCAACACAACTGGTCTCCAATATTCAGAGGAGAGAAAGTCACTCTGAGATGTGAGATCCATGGAGGTGGAGGAACTGAGTGGACGTATGAATGGAGACCAACCAGCAGAAACTCTGAAACATTCAGTGAATCCAGGACCATAAGAGCAGACAGTAACTCCTACAGCTGCAGAGGAAGAAGAGACCATGAGTCAACTCAATGGAGTGATTCTTTTTCATTAACTGTTTGTGAGTTATCCCTCTATTTTAGAAAATAGGTGATTGTTTGAAATGTTTCAATTAGTTTTATCTAACCATCTTTTCTATTAAAACATTCAACTTCACTGTATTCCCCAACAGTGCTATACACTCAATACAATTGCAGAGCTGTACTCAAAGCTGCCATATTGTTCAGGCACCACAAATGTTTTAAGTTCACTCAACTGGTTACCCAGTTATTGATTATTTTGACAAGATGAACTCTTAGTATATGAGTAGAACTGACCCCCAAACTCATTCCTTTTAAGAGTGGATTGAATTTACGTCTGACGTAATAATGACGTGCCAGTTCATTGGATAGGTTCATATCAACATGGCAATTAACCTAACAAACCAATATAAAAAAATACAAAAAATCCTATCCCAAATGAATGGTGGATGAACTATATGGAACCCCGAATGATTCATAATTAAATAAATAAATAAAAATTATGAAATAAATGCAATTTTGATAAATAACAAACAAATATATAATATGGTCATGAAATAAAAACAAGGTAATGTTATTATGAAATATATATGTGTTATTTATCAAAATGGTATTTATTTTATAAACTTTTTAATTTATTTAATTATGAATCATTCGGGGTTCCATAGAACTAGTCTATGATCGATTGTGGTCAATGTAATCTGTTACAATTTGACATCGTACGACTAGTTGTTTGCAAGGACTGCTGTGCACTCGGATGTAGGCAGGCAACAACATTGAGGAGATCATCAACAACATCAGGCTGCAAACCGTAGCCTCTCTGCACAAAAGGTAAAAACGCGCTTGTAGGCTACTTTGTTTATTTATTTGTTTGTCGTCTTCCAGCGGGCAGACCTCAGCTGTTTTTGCGAGTTAACTAAAGTTCGTTGTCTCAGCTGTGAGCCAGCTAGCCTTTTGCGCTACTTTAGTGGAAAACAGGACAGACAAACCGTATGGTTTTAGCACTACCAAATATCTTTTATCACCCGTTTCTGGTGTTAAGCCTACTACTTTGGCCGCGAAAGTTATAGCCAGCCAGACGCCGAAGCAATGTTTCATAACTTGAGCCTATGATAGGAAGCCAAGTAATCGGTCTCCGCCAGGTGACGTCATTGTTTACCTCGGGCGCGGTGCATCGTGGGAAAGCCACCATATTAGGCGGAAAGTCGAGTTAACCCACACGCGGCTGTTCTTTCGGCACAATTATTAACCTGAAATGGCCCGATCGTGTTGTGTGAGAGGCTGCCAGTCCCGGCATGGCAGATCGGGGGACGAAGGAATCCGTTTTTTCCGTTTTCCAACCTGGAAACGATCACACGGACCTCAATTGGAGGAAATAACAAAGAGACGTCGCATGGCCTGGCTTTCAGCAGTGAGGAGAAAGGATCTCATTTTCAACAAAACATTCCCCCACATGTGTGTTTGTTCTCGGCACTTTCATAAAGGTAACATAAACTTTTAATATTACTTAAAAAACGTCAGAAAATGCATTACTTGTGTTTTATTATTATTCATAATCACCATTATTCTAACTTATTATTTTTTATTATTTCAAAAACAAATTTAAACACCCATATTAAATTAATTAATTAATTTGATATAAGACATAGCCTTATCCAGTATGAACTTGCTTTCTAAATCAAACCTAACATGTGGTTTCAGGTGAGCCAGCTTATGAGATGATGGAGAGTGACCCAGACTGGGCCCCATCCTTACATCTTGGACACACGTTTATCAAACCAACAGACCCTGGTCGCTCTGCCAGACGAAGGGCACGGGAGCAGACACGGAAACAGACCCTTCAGTCAGCAGAGACAGGCATACACCAGGATGTAAACACTGACGGGCTACAGACCGAGGAGACATGTGATGCTGAAGAAGGAAATGGTCAGCTGGAGGTTGGAAAGGATGGAGAAAAAAACCCTCAGCAGGAGATCAGAGAGGATGGAGAAGAAAACCAAGAACACCCTCAGCAGGAGATTGGAGAAGAAAACCCTCAGCTGATCACAAACAAGGAGGTGCAGAACCCCACTGAAACTGTGACTCAGCCTGAATGTGACCTGTGTGTGCTCAGGCGTGCAGAGGTCAACCGCCTGACAGAAGAGAATATAGAACTGCGACGCAAACTTAATGAGAACATGATATCCGATAGTTTCTTTGGAGCTGATGATGAAAAAGTAAAGTATTACACTGGTCTGCCAAACCTTGCAACCTTCCTGGCGCTCTTTAATTTTTTATTGCCACTCATGTCATATCAAAAGAAATGTCTTACTCCTTTTCAGATGCTCCTATTCACACTCATGCGCTTAAGATTGGATTTGCCTCTGCAGCACCTTGCTTATCTGTTTCATATTTCTCCTAGGACTGCACAAAGAACATTTCATGATATGGTTTCATGTCTTTATGCAAATTTGAGGCGTGCTATTATATGGCCAGACAGAGACACTCTCCGCAAAGTAATGCCACATCAGTTCAAGGAGGCCTTTGGAAACAGAGTAGCAGTGATTATTGACTGCTTTGAGATATTTACAGAAAAACCATCAAACCTAAAAGCGCGTGCCCAAATGTTCTCCAGCTACAAGCACAATCACACCATGAAATATTTAATAGGTGTGACACCCAAAGGAGCCATTTGTTTTTTGTCCAAAGGCTGGGGAGGTCGTACAAGCGACAAACACATCACGCTGAACAGTGGCTTCCTTGACAATTTGTTGCCTGGGGATCTGGTCTTGGCTGACAGAGGTTTTGACATACAGGAGTGTGTGGGCATGCTGTGTGCTGAAGTTAAACTCCCAGCATTCACCAAAGGCCACTGTCAGTTAGCAGCTAGAGATGTGGAGGAAACTAGGAAAATAGCACATTTGAGAATCCATGTTGAACGGGTGATTGGAAATGTATGTCAAAAGTACAAAATCTTAAATGGAACTATTCCTATTTCAATGGTTTTACCCTGTGCTGGAGAAGAGGTCACATTCTTGGATAAGGTCGTCACTGTGTGCTGTGCCCTGACAAATCATTGTCCAACTGTGGTGTAGATACAGAAATCACCCAAGATGTAAATGCATTTTGATTTTTTTTACTTGTGCATAAGGAAGGCTTGTACACACTGTAAACTTTCTTTTTTAGCACAATAAACTTTTTTCAACAAAACTTGTAAACATTAGCATAATAGAAATATCCCCACAACCTGCAAATATCAACCTGTAAACATTCTTTTGTAGCATCATAAAAAATTGTCAAACACTGAAAACTTGTAAACATTCTTTTTAGAATAATAAAAGTCTTCTAAAACCTTCTAAAACTGTAAATATTCCTTTTTTTTTGGTAGCATAAAGAACATGGGTCATTGAGAAAAATATTAAGTTGAACTGTTTTTATGTGTGCATTTAACTGTCAAGTGATCAGTGCAAAAGGTAAACACAAGGAATAGCTTAACATACTGGTAACATATGTAAAGTGAAGAGGTAGTAGTATAAGGTGCTCAGCTACATTTGTCTGGTGAACACAAACAACACTGCAAAAAAAAAAAAAAAAAAAGTTTAAGTTTTTAAATTTGAGCACTTCCAGTGTCAAGTGATCAGTGCAAAAGTAAACACAAGCAATAGCTTAACATACTGGTAACATATGTAAACACACAAACATCACTGCAAAACACATTTAAATTAACAAAGACAGTTTAAGTTTTTGAATTCGAGCACTGAGGGCAAAGCCAAAAATCAGACTGAGCATCTTTGAGGTGTAGGCCAACACAACTCAAATGAAACCAAACGATGGGGCAGTTTTCATTGTCACAGGCCACCATGTCATCTTTGGCCTCCGGTCCATGGCACAAACACCATAGCTTGTCAGCTGCTACAATGTTGTTTGCTTTTTCAGCCAGAGGTTTTGCAGCCTTGCAAGGTCTTTTCCTTACAGGATCAGAGCTGTCTGTCAGCGGTGCTCGTTGTGCATCACGTGCGAAGAAGTGGCTGACCAGTTCAGGGAGACACACACGCTCAAAGAACTGCTGTGCCTTTTCAAGGAGTGCATTCCACAGCTTGGGGTCAGGTGCCACACGTAACACGACAATGTCTTTCAGGGTCCACACTACAAAGTCACAATATGCTGCATTAGCAACAAAAATTTGGGTCTGCACTTGTTTGTAGTATGGATGCTCCTTCTTAAGCTGCAGCTTTACCATCCACCATTTCCAAACAGAAATTTTTATCACCACTCCTGCATGCCTCCAGAATGGTATTGTCTCGGTACTTGAATGGGCACTTTATCTCGACACAGCCTTTTCCGCAGCAGGTGCACAGTACAATTGCATCAGGTGATGCTCCAACCTGGGGAAACTTGGGGTTGATAATGAACCCAGACTGGCTTAGCTCAAAGTCACAGTGTTGGTTTTCCATTTTCTGTTTGTACTGTGTTTGCCCTCTCTGTTCATTTTGTCTCCCCCATACAGTGGCAGCACAATGATTGGTTGCACCGCTGTTTGTGCCACATACTGCTTTGACGGTTGAAACTGCAGGGTTGTCCAAATCTGACCGAAAGACTGCGTGCATGGTTGATGCTGTTACCCTTCCTGTGCGAAACCGATACCATGTTGAGGATCTGTGCTGTGATCTACTATGCAATTCTATGTAGTGGGCCTGGTCCTGTGAAATGTCTGCCTTTTTTAACAAAGTTTTGCAGTGCAACCGTAACGCAGACAAATCACTGCAATCCATTTTTTTATCACGCAGTCGGGACAATGAATCTGGTGCAGGACATGGCTGTAATGTGTCTGCAAATGAATCACAAAATCCTGGTACACAAGACAAAACAGCAGCTTTAGGTGAGGCTTTCTGCAGTTCACAAAGATATGCGCTCCACTGGTCCTGTGTGCTGGTGTTGCCTGTGCAGGTGCTTGTGACAGTTCTGAGCGCTGGCATGTGTTCGGCCTGACCATCCAAGAGTTGGTCTAGGCTTTTCCGTTTAGCTTTTGATGATGTAAAATCGATCTTGTGTCCCACCTCCGCTCCCACTTTGTTTATGTTGTTCGGTATCATCCAGTATGCAGGCTCTCCTGTAACAGTTGTTTTCTCCCTGCATCTGATAGTGGCCTCCAACTTGAACAGCATGGCAGCTACATGCGTACAGGTCTCTGCTATCCCAGCCATACATGTACAGTGAGCAGATGATATGGCTCCTGATCGGTCAATGATGGCCCAGGGTTTCAGTGGTGTGTCGTTTAGTCTTTGGGAGTGCATGACCTACAAGGAACATAACACAGATACAAACGTTTTAGTGGGATGGGAGTCTTACATATGTTCAGGCAGGGGGGGATTTAGCATTAGGCAATACTAGGCAGGTGCCTAGGGCCCCAAGTTCCTGGGGCCCCCATAACATGTATGTTTAATACAGCTATTCCTGACTTGTGCACTTTAATTATGTTTTTGATATAAATGCTTTCGCTAAAAGGACAGCAGCAAACCATTTGAAAAAAAATGATACAATGAGCGGTTTTGTACTTGAGCGACTTTACAGGCTCTTCTAGCACTTTAATATCAAAAAAGGGCCTAGCGCCAAATCTTGCAAAATTTTTCTGCTACTGGAGACTTTGGCGACCACATTCATAGGGCCCCCTGCCTGTCTTTGCCTAGGGCCCCCATTTTTCTAAATCCGCCCCTGTTTTCAGGCTTATGTTAACTGTACAGACTTATCTTGGACAGGCTGCTATGTAAACGTGGGCATAAAAAAAAAAAATATTTTGATTACTGAACATCATTTAGGAGCTTGCTTGAGAAGCGCTGAGGGAGCTTACCTTTGCAGTAACAACTGTGTTGTTGCACATCTGTGGTCGGTAGGAAAACAGATCCTGAACCCAGCCATTTGTGAACTGTCCGTGTGCTTCCAGTGATTTATATGCCTTGAATTCCTCGCACGTGTAGGCACTGACGCCAAACACTAGGTAAGTGGTTATGTCCACTGATGAGGTCGGAGGCAGTGAAGAGACGTCGGAGCTCCAGTCTTTGCTCCGGAGATCATAGGGATCTATGCCGTTAATATCCGACAGTTTGGCCAAGTAACGGTCCCTGGCCTCGTTGTTAAGTTTTTCCCGGTACGGTAGTTTCGCATTCTGCTTACTTTTTTCCATGTAGTCGGCGAAAAAAACTCAATCCTTTAGTCCTTTTGTTTGGCTGTGCTGCGGCTGTTTACACTACGCCTTCTCCACTCAAAATGGCGTCTTAGCAACAAATGTCACGTGACTGACGGAGACCGATATCCAAACTTGCCGACAATAGCCTAGCTTAGCATGATCACTGTCAATGTGTCTGATTCTGATAGGCAGTGTTGGGCAAGCTACTTGTCCAGTGTAGTGAGCTAAGCTATCAGTTACTCAACAATAAATTAAGCTTCACTACACAAAAGCTACCACCTAAAGAATTATAGCAAGCTAAGTTACACTAATATGTTAACAGTAGCTTTGTGACCAATTTTCTTTTTGCATTTTCAGATTTGTGCAGAATTCCATCGAATAACAAATATAAATTTAAAGAGTACATTTTATTCTGCATTTGATAAGTACATGCCATGGCTAATTACGATGTACCGTGAGAAAGCGGCCCGCACTGGCAAAACTTCTGAATTGCTAAGAAACATCTTCAGGACCTATGATCTCCTTGTATGTAACATTTCCTACCTCATGACAATTTGTACTATAGTATTATTTAATATATGCATATGATTAATATTCTGCTTATTCTGCAATTTTTTCTTCCCATTACCCATCACTGCAAAAAATATAAATCTCAATAAGTTATTTTTTCTTAAAATAAGTGTGTTTTTCCTTGATTTGAGGAGGTAAGTAAGACACTTTGCCAATGGAACAAGACAATTTCCTTTTAAAATAAGAAAAAACTATTTTATCGTCTTATTTCAAGTAAATATTATCTAACTATCTTATTTTAAGAGTGAAAATACTCATTCCATTGGCAAATCATCTTATTTACCTGCTCAAATTAAGGCTAAATATACTTAATTTAAGCCATTTTTTACTTATTTCTGGATTGTTTTTGCAGTGCAATCCCTCTGTCTTCTAGGAAGACGTTGATGTTAACAGCAGACGCACAATTGCTCTGCAGGCACTTCCCATCTTCCTGCGTGAAGATGCTGCTGGATTTTTTAAGACCTGGAATGTAAGTTTATGATTCAACTAGGGCTGCAACAACAAATCGATAAAATTGATAAAAATCGACTTTTAAAAGCGTTGGCAACGAATTTCATCATCGATTAGTTGTGTCGCGCGATTAACAGCTACATTTCTCATGTAAGTTTGCGTAGTTTTAACACAAACATTTATTTTTCATATTGCACCAGTACAGTTAATGAGCAACCTGTACTTGTGTGCTTGTTTGTTCTGTCTAAAATGTTTATTTTGGAATAAAGAGGTTAGTATAAAAAATATTTTTTGTCCGATTCATCGATTAATCGAAAAAATAATCGGCCGATTCATCGATTTTTAAAATAATCGTTAGTTGTAGCCCTAGATTCAACTGTGTGTACTCTTTTACTCTTTCTTTTTCTTAGTTTGTGTATCTCTATAAATATATATTTTTTCTATTTAACCCTCTGTTACTGCCAAAAGACAACAACCACAACCCTCTTCCTAGCCACCAGAAAAGCTATTAAATCATACTGTACTACAGTAATTCTCCAAGAATGTCATATTTGGGAATTTTACCTGAACTTTTCATTCACTGGTATTTCATATTAAATACACATGTAGTGTTTTTCATTGATTGCTCTACTCATTAACTAATTACTGTCATGGTCAAGACATTGACCTGCCAGACCTCTCGGATACAACTGTAGCTGTTCTCACTGTCTCGAATGATACAGTCTCCCTTGTGAAGTTTGGTCCTGCAATACATTCTATAGTTCTTGAGGGAGAGATTGTGGTATGTGATATACTATAGCACAGTTAACAGAGACATTCATTTTTCTTTTTGGCTTGATTTATGCACTACATCTACAGTATCCCAAGAAATTGACATATACACTATATTGCCAAAAGTATTTGCTCACCCATCCAAATTATTGGAATCAGGTGTTCCAATCACTTCCATGGCCACAGGTGTATAAATTCAAGCACCTAGGCATGCAGACTGTTTTTACAAACATTTGTGAAAGAATGGGTCGCTCTCAGGAGCTCAGTGAATTCCAGCGTGGAACTGTGATAGGATGCCACCTGTGCAACAAATCCAGTCGTGAAATTTCCTCGCTCCTAAATATTCCACAGTCAACTGTCAGCTGTATTATAAGAAAATGGAAGTGTTTGGGAACGACAGCAACTCAGCCACGAAGTGGTAGGCCACGTAAACTGACGGAGCGGGGTCAGCGGATGCTGACGCGCATAGTGCGAAGAGGTCGCCAACTTTCTGCAGAGTCAATCACTACAGACCTCCAAACTTCATGTAGCTCAAGAACAGTGCGCAGAGAGCTTCATGGAATGGGTTTCCATGGGCGAGCAGCTGCATCCAAGCCATACATCACCAAGTGCAATGCAAAGCGTCGGATGCGGTGGTGTAAAGCACGCCGCCACTGGACTCTAGAGCAGTGGAGACGCGTTCTCTGGAGTGACGAATCGCGCTTCTCCATCTGGCAATCTGATGGACGGGTCTGGGTTTGGCGGTTGCCAGGAGAACGGTACTTGTCTGACTGCATTGTGCCAAGTGTAAAGTTTGGTGGAGGGGGGATTATGGTGTGGGGTTGTTTTTCAGGAGCTGGGCTTGGCCCCTTAGTTCCAGTGAAAGGAACTCTGAATGCTTCAGCATACCAAGACATTTTGGACAATTCCATGCTCCCAACTTTGTGGGAACAGTTTGGAGCTGGCCCCTTCCTCTTCCAACATGACTGTGCACCAGTGCACAAAGCAAGGTCCATAAAGACATGGATGACAGAGTCTGGTGTGGATGAACTTGACTGGCCTGCACAGAGTCCTGACCTCAACCCGATAGAACACCTTTGGGATGAATTAGAGCGGAGACTGAGAGCCAGGCCTTCTCGTCCAACATCAGTGTGCGACCTCACAAATGCGCTTCTGGAAGAATGGTCAAAAATTCCCATAAACACACTCCTAAACCTTGTGGACAGCCTTCCCAGAAGAGTTGAAGCTGTTCTAGCTGCAAAGGGTGGACCGACGTCATATTGAACCCTATGGATTAGGAACGGGATGTCACTTAAGCTCATATGTGAGTCAAGGCAGGTGAGCAAATACTTTTGGCAATATAGTGTACATTCTATTTTATTCAGAAAGTTGTAATGGGTTTGGATGACCTGAAGCGGTTACCTCCGAGACTGCTTAGCCTTAAAAATTATCTGATGATGGATGAGTAAGCAGTCTGCTTAAAATATGTCGTTGTTACTACCAGCATGGTGATACTCAAGCAACCATTTCGTCTTTGTTTTTTTGTTTTCGCTTTTTTATTTATGTTGGCCTATTATTGTTGGCCTATTATTTTTGGATCGGCCTATTATGTTGGCCAATTTTTCGTTTTTTGTGGATACAGAGAAGCCGATGTTTCAGAAGGCAGCTTTGAACAGACCTGCAGATTTGTAATTGTTTTTGACTTGATCATTTCAGTGTTTGGCTTGAGGTCCCAGAGTTTCGTACGGAAATGCTTTGGTCTACCTTGAAGTCACTGGGAACTAAAAGATCTTTTACGGTTTTATTTGCTGAATAAATAAAACCGTATTTATTCAGCATTTTGATTGAAAATGTGGTTGTTATTTATTTTATTTTCTGTATTAACCCCATTGCTGGGGACATTGTTCTGAATTCTAATGGAATTCATAAATAAATGGAATCTGCAGTAAAATTGTCTTTTGAATATTTTTTTATTTGAATCATACAAATAAAATATATTTGATTTTGAGAAAAATTGCTAACATATACAGGCAATAAAATGTGTTTAAATACAGTTAAGTCAACTTAAAAATATAAAAGGCTGAATTGACAATGTTTAGGTCTGAGAAACTGAATGAGTCATGGTGATAACATGAATATATTATTAGGGGTGATAACTTAAAAAAAATCAACTCCGTGTCCAGTGTCAGTTTTGTTAGTTTTAACATTAGTTTCAAAATGATCAGGTTCATTAAACTTATAAAAAATTTAAGTATTGATTACTTAAAATGTTAGTTTGTGAAATTATTATGTTTCAGTTCATCAACTTCCTCAAAATAAATGAGTGTGAATAACTTTTCTAGTTTAGAGTAGTAATTACTTAAAATGTTTGTTTGTTGAAATTATTTGTTTTAATGTTGTTCATTTGACCAAAGATTTTAAGTGTAAAGAGCTTGTCTAACTAATGTAGTAATTACTTAAAACATCTTTTTCTCACATTATTCTTTTTAATTTTATCCTTGTCCTCAAAGATTTTGAGCACTAACAAAAGTCTCATTTTAAGTAGAAATGACTTAAAATATTCTTTAACATAGCTAAATATTTTGAGGTAATCAGTTTCATCAAATATTTTGAGTTCATTGAACCTGTTGGGGTTTACAGTGTTTGAGCTGTTGTTTTTCGGAATATTTAATTTATTTATTTATTTTTTCAAGTTTATGCTTAAAGTTTAAAGTAAATATTTCATAGCATTAAGGATCTTATCAGCTTTGTTAGTGTCTAATATGATCACAACGTTGCTACAGGTGAGCCAGATTATGTTGACCACTAGAGAACAGTTTAGGAAATGTTCTAACTTGACTCTTTTGTTTTAGATCACCATAGATTAAATCATATTTTTTTAATTGAAAAATAGAATACTTTCAAGAACACCACAAAGACATAAACATTGTAAAGTTAATATTGGCTATACCTGGAAAAAAAAAAAAAAAATGTATAAATGCCTATATAGATATGGTAAGTAAAAAGTTTATCCAACGTTTATTTAAAATGTGGTTTTAAATTCTCAGGGGATCAAATATCTGATTTATTCTACTAGCTGAATGCGAGATTTATGGAGTTAAAACACTTCATTAAACAATATTCTGGAGATTTACTTGTTTTTGTTTTTCCTTCAATAGCAGAAAAACCAAGAGCCAATCTGACAGCAGAGGAAACCATCATACCAGCAGGGGGCAGTATAACACTGACCTGCTCTGTGCCCAGCTCTGCTGGATGGAAGTTTTACTGGTTCAGACAGAAGTCAATGTCTCAAACAGCTCACTCCATCAGAAACAAGGAACCTGATAGATTCCTCAGAGTCTCAGAGGGAGGTAGATACAGCTGCAGAGGAGGAAGAGGAGATCCAGTTTTCTACACTGAAAGCAGCAATAAAGTCTCTGTAAGGAAAACTGGTGAGTTTAGTTTCTGTTCACTATTGAAACAAAAAGTGATTTCAGATTTGTTAAATGGTGGGGTATCTTTTTTTGAAACCTAATAATGGTGTTGGAAAAAAAAAACAAAGCATACATTACTTACTGTGTTAAGTATCTTTATGATCCAGACAGCATGATATTCCTGCTGCTTACAGATTCAAGATAAATGGTTGGTCCTTAATTGATTAATATAGTTGTAATGTTTTTTTTCTAATCCAATACCTCTCACCTATCTTGACTTAAATTTGTCATTTTTATTTTATTTAGTATTTTATATTTCTTTATTTCATCAGTATTTCCTAGTAACTTGAGTCATAATAAAGCTAAAGGAAAGCAGCTTGTACAGAGGAACAAAGTCTAACTTTAAGCTTCAATCATCAAAGCCATGATGCTCTTTCTTTGCATTAGTTGGACTATTTATCTCTAGTTATCTTTTAGTTGTCAGATATACTGTTTACTAATTATAATAAATGTATGTTAAACTACCATTCAATTAAAATTCATTAGGTTTTGGTATCACAACATTGTTTGTATTTAATTGACTCCAAACACACATTACATTAATAATGAATTTTAAGATCTAACATTTCAATCAAAGTCTAATTCCTCCATCATAGTGCTGATGCTGCCTAATGATTGATTTCAACAGGCAGAGGTGTCAATTAACAAAGTACAAATACTTCACTACTGTACTTAAGTACACTTTTTAGGTATCTATACTTTACTCCATTACTTATTTTTCTTCCTACTTCTGAATTCTACTCATTACATTTTCACACAAGTATCTGTACTTTCTATTCCTTACATTTTTAAAACAAACGTTAATCATTTCTCTTGGCTTCGGTTTAATGTTTATAAATATTTATTTCACGTCATGTGCGCCATCCAATGCAGATCATTGGCGCCATCCACATCTAGTGAAAACTAGTGTAACTGGATGAGTCATATAACACAAACACTCATTGGTTAGCTAGAGGAAATCATCAGAAGCAAGCAGGTGTTCTTCAAACTGCAAATGTTAATTGTCTATGCCATGCTACAATGTCAGAATCAGAAAAAGATTTTGAAATGTCTGAAAGGTCGGACACAGGTGAGAGCGTATCGGGAAATGGAGACGGAGACCAACAAGACCTCCCTCATCCTTGGCCCTATCTCAAAGAAATTTTTCGAAATAGTCGAAAAATTTAGTTTTCAATTCATATAGTGGCATCTGACTGTTTTTTAAAGGTTACTTTATACTTCTACGCTTTAAGTAGTTTTGAAGCACATACTTTTTCACTTTTACTTGAGTAAAGAGGTCAAGTTGATACTTCAACTTTTAAGTTGAAATGCAGAAAAAAAGAAGAAACTAAAAAAAAAATCACAAAATCAGAGGTAAAAAAAAACGCAAGGTGAGACTCCACATAAGAAAAAAATGCTCCTGAGAATTTGTTGAAGTAAAAGTTGTTTTTGAACTGCAGTATCTATACTTCTATTTAAGTACCGTAACAAATGTGTTTTGACACCACTGCCAACAGGTGACCTTCTCCCTGTCCTCTCTGTGTCTCCATCATGGCTGAGTCCTGGAGCCTCAGTGACTCTGAGCTGTGAGGTTGAACCTCAGTCTGCAGGATGGAGGTTCTTCTGGTATAAAGCTGTTCCTGATTTATCATTCAAATCCTACAGCTTTAAGCTGCTGCCTGACATCACCACTAGAACTGAACTGAACTCCTACATTCTTCATGGACAAAATCACACAGCACGATATGTGTGCAGAGCAGGAAGAGAAGATCCAGCAGATTTCACTGCTTACAGTGAACCAAAGTTTGTCTGGTCTGCAGGTCAGTATTTTCCTCTCTATGCTATAAGTAAGCAGGAGCCATAGTTATATGTTCAATCTGTAACCATCATTGTTGTCTAAGAACATTCATATGAATGCTTTGTATCTACTGTCATGTTTTACTAAGAATTTAAATAAATGTTAGATATGAATCAGATTTATTATAGTTTTTATCAAATAAAGTTAATATGGATTCCTGCTGTACTTTTATCTAACTTAATGTACTTTTGTCTATAGCTGTAGAGTGAGAAAAGGATGTTGTTCAAAGACATCTGTAAAAGTTTAGATCATCCTCTTTTATTTTTATTTATTACATTTTAAAACAAGTCAATCTGATAATTGTTCTTTAAAGATAAGCCTAAAACTGCATTACTAAACTAATGATATCCAGTAAAATGTATTAATACACATCAACATCTAAACTGTTGATTCTTCTTCATTGATGCTATTCCAGGTTTTTACTGCAGCTTCTTTCAGTTCTTGTTTATTTTGGGGGGTTCTCTCTCAGTCTTCTCTTCAGGAGGTGAAATGCATGATCTGTTGGGTGAAGGTCTGGTGATTGACTGGTCTTTCTAAAACCTTCCACTTTTTCCCCTGATGGAGTCCTTTGCTTTGTTAGCAGTGTGCTTTGGGTCATTGTCCTGCTGCATGATAAAATTCCTCCAGATTACTTTTGATGCATTTTTCTAAAAAGTAATTTCAGGATTCATTCAGCTGATACCATCATCAGTTATTTCATCAATAAATACAGTATTAATGATCCAGTTCCAGAAGCTGCCATGTAGCCCAAAGCATGAAATCAAACCAATACTCATTAAATAATCACCACCATGCTTGATGAGCCTTTAAGCTTCAGATCATCAGTGGCACAGTTTTTATCCACTGTTTTTCCATCACTTTGGTAGAGATTAGTCTTGATCTCAGTACATAAGTTGGTGTTGCAGAACTTTCTGGGCTCATCTATTTATAAATTTCAATGTCACTTTAGACATTTCTTATCAAATTACTCCTTATAATGTCTTTTACTCCATGGCCTGTGTTTTTCGTGACCCATTAAATCCTGTTAGTTTGAATGTTCCTGCTTTAATTAACCTTTATTTTCTGAATATGCTCTCATAACCTTTAAACCGCAGTTGTTCTATGAAGTCATTTTAAAGGTTTTAACACAGTCCAGAGGAAACCCCAATATGATCAGTCTAAACAATCCACCACAGATTAAAATGATAAAAAAGAACTTAAGACTCTTTAAAGGTTGTTTTAAACTTCATATGTTCAATAAATAAGCAGATGATACAGGTTTTACAAGAGTTGGCAGGAGCGGAAATAGAGGGGGGTAAGCGATGCCATAGCCACATAGCCATCCCCAGCCAATCATTGACTAGACCTGTGTTGATCCTGGATGGAGGGAAGATCAGCATGATCCTCTCTGCAAACTTTATTATTCATTACAGTTTGGACCAGTCCTGTTTGTAGATAAGAACCAAACCACAGAGATGGATGAGTATAAAACAGACTGAAGGATGGAGGTATAGAAAATGATCAGCTGCTGCTGTGGAAGGTTGAGCTTCCTGAGTTTCTGCAGGAAGTACAGTCTGAGATTCACTAATATATTGGATTTAAAGGACAGATATCACCAGAGGCGTAGTCAGAAAATTTTAATAGGGGTGGTGAGTCAAAAATCAATGTAAACTGAGGGGTGGCCAAAAGCAGATAGACGCCAGAACCTCAGGGTCCATCTACACTGTTCCAACAGGAACGAGCACAACATCCATATTTTCTAAATAAAGACAAACTATTCTTTCCTACAGCCTTTTGATTACAAATAGATGCATATATTTAAACATCCATGCTGTCTAAAAGGTATAATGGACAAAATGTCTGGGGAAAACATATTTTCCATTGTCATTACTTACCCACTTTAATCAAAAATTGTTCTGCATAGCATTAATATGACATGTACTAATATCTACATTAAATTGATTTTGAAGTTATTATTAAAGTAGTTATTTATGATTTCACTGAAAACTCCTTGATGACTAGCAGAGACATCATTTTCTCTTTACCCCATATAACACGAAATTAGGGTCTTAAAAGAGCCTGAATCCTGTTTATATAAACTTTGATGTTAGTATTTTGATGCGCATAATTAACCACAGCATTTTAGTTGTCAAGTAACTATTAATATATGATATATGAGAAATTATAAGGCATAATAAGGATAAACATACCTCGTGATAGTATTACTTCTGCCACTGTCTGTATTAGAGGGCGAAATAAATGATAGGGGTAGCCAATGAGTGGCTAAGGGTAGCCATGGCCTCCCTTGGCCCCCCATCTAGCTCCGCCCCTGGATATCACAGTTTGATCACATTGTCAAAATGTTTGCAGTCATATTTATTAAAAATCCATAATGATCCTTTTACCTGTTGTTTCTGTGCTCAGCCTAAATCCTGTGTTGTTTTCCAGATCCTCATCCAGCAGCGTCTCTCTCAGTGAGTCCTGACAGAGTTCAACACTTCAGATCTGACTCTGTGTCTCTGAGCTGTGAGGGAAACTCTACTAAATGGATAGTGAAGTGGATTAGAGAAACAGGTTTACTGTTAGACTGCTCCCTCTGGGACATCATGAACAGATCTACCTGTAGCATGAGCTTGTACTGGTATCATAGTGGAGTGTACTGGTGTGAGTCTGGATCAGGACACTTCAGCAACGCCGTCAACATCACTGTACAGAGTAGGTGATGATTTATCATGTTTTTCTTTCTCTTTCCTAATTTTCAACATTAACACATTTCAGTATATTTAATGTTTAATACGTACTGTAACCTCTAACTGAAATATTTGCTCCTTGATAAATCACTCTCCCTAAATCAACACATCTTTATAATTCTATCATCAAGGTTGTTGAACAACCTTGATGATAGAATTATGCAGTTATTAAGAAAGTTTAAAAAATAAATAACCTTTGTTCAGTTTTAAAGTAATTTTTCATCTATAGCTAATATTATTATTATTTATTTGTAAAAAAAAATGTTCACTTAACTTTTCTACAGTAGAAAGTAAAACTGTCTGATATTTTACATTAAACTGAATTAATTTAAAATAACATAATCATATTAATGGATCCATAAATATTTCAGAGCTGCTCTGAACCATCAGTGCTTTAAATTTCAGAGCTGCAGATTTATTCTGATGTTAATCATCATTGTTTATTTCTTCTATTTTCATCTTCATAAAAACTATTCTTATCTAAATTCTGGTCAATAACTATGTTATCTCCTCCAACACAGTTGATTATTTGTTGTCCTCTAGTGATCATCTTTCTGAGACCTCTCTCAGAGGAAAAGTTGATGAAATCTCAATAAAATCTAGAAAATAAAAGTGAAGAGAACATCCTCAGCCTCCAATAATGTCGCTCTAGGAACCATTCTGTGTTTAATCTGATATCCCAGTGAGGTCACAGGGTGACCCTTTTGTTTTGGTAGATCAGTTTAAAAACAAAAACTTCTGTTCAAAGTGATCAAACTGAAGGGAAAGGCATCTTTTCAAGGATTTTACAGTTCTTATCCCAGCAATCTCTGATGAAATGTTCATGTTCTCTGATTGTTTTATAGAAGATATTAATGGTATTATCCTGGTGAGCCCCGTCCATCCTGTGACTGAGGGAGATCCTGTTACTCTGAGCTGCAGAGATAAAGAACAAAAACTTCTCTCCAATGTGTTTTTCTATCACGATAACAAACTGATCCACAATGACGGCAGAGAGGAGCTGAAGATCTCTGCAGTGTCAAAGTCAGATGAAGGTTTCTACAAGTGTGAACATTCAGGAAAGGAGTCACCACAGAGCTGGATGGCTGTTAGAGGTGAGAGGATGAAAACATTTGATAGATTTTATTCAGGAAAACCATTAAACTTTAATCAATGAACAAGGTGAACTCTAATAATGTTAATGTGAATGTGCTGTGGGTTTCTGTCCATGTTTACAATCACATAACATCTGCAGATTAATAACACGGCTTTCTAATATTTATTTTCTCCAGTTCCTCTCACCAGTCCTGTCAGCTCTTCACTTCCTGTGCTGCTGATTGTTGGACCAGTTATTGGAGTCATTCTCATTATTCTCCTGATGTTGTTGTTGTGGTGCTGCAGACGGTCTATGGGTGAGACCTTTTCATGAACACTGAAATATTTATTTAACTTATTCCTGGTTTAACTATTGCAACACAGACATTGATTCATTTTCTGTGGAAAAAAAACTGGCAGATAAATAATGAATAATAAAATATTTCACAGATCTGTGCTGCATCAGGTGAGTTCACCATATTTTGATTTTCTTTCTCCCCATCATATTTTTATTTCATTGACTTTTCCTTAATAACCTGTTTGTATCAATTATTAGATCAGGGGTCTCAGAGAGCAGGAGTCAGAGCTACACAAACCAGATTGAAGGTCAGAACTACAGCTTCTCGCTTTTTTCAACCTCAGTATTGTTATCAGTATGTTTGCATTGGGGACTTCCTGCTGGTGTTAAATGAGGTTATGTCCCCTTGAAGGCAGTTGCGCCGCGGGACTTCCCTTCCGGTTCTTTTCCCTGGAGCAAGTTATTTACAACTCTTAACTCAAACTGGGCAAAATCATATAAAAAAGGACTATAAAAGCAGGATTAAAAAAATAACAGAGTTTATTCCAGATCAGGTCGTTACAGGACAGAGAAAATGCTTGGAGCTTGCACAGCTGTGGGCTCAAACATCACGTCCGCAAGCGTCCGGCAAAGATTGAGCCCCAAACAAGGTCATCTTCTCCTTCTTATAGCTCATGAGTCTATGTGTTGGATCATGTGGATGTTTAGCTGTCCGTACCAGAAACTGACACGCCATCCATGCCCTGACCTCTATGCATCTTGCCTCTATGCTCAAGAAATACAGATAGCTTCCCTCTATCAGTCCGGCTCCAAGATGTTCCCATATCCTGTGTATCTTTAAAAGACAAGAAGGCTGTCCTATTTAGATGACCCACTTACACAAAGTGACATCCACAATGTGAAGGAAGGCCTTCTACTCTCTCTAATCTGGCTAACAAAGTAACAGTGCACATGATGTATAAAAGAATAAACCTAACACTGGTGATCAAGGCTCCAGCTGTAGGGGTTGTGCAAATGTTCAAGGATACAGCAACATCAAAAAAACTTTTGAAAAAACACAAGCTAGATTAAAAACATACAATTACAAATAACTATTTTGTGTAAAGAATCTATTTAAACCCCTCCTTCAATACAGGGAAGAAGGTGTTGGGTAAAATCCAAACTTGTGACCTCTCAAAGACTCAACAGGCGACCAATTTAATCCTCATCTCCCCAGGTTGTCCGGCCAGGACATGGATAACAGGCGCTAATTGCACTCATGCCACTCTTTATTGAAGTTGTGCTGATTAGGATGAGAATTGTTCTTTGAGATTTTGAGTATGGTTTATGCCTTTTAACCAAGTTTCATAAACTATTATAGAATGGTGATGGATTCAAAGTGTTAAGAAACAAAAAAAACATTAAAACCTTATGAAAAATTACAGTTCTAAAGAGAGTTTGTAGTTATAACCTTTTTAGTACCAGCATGATTCTGATGAAATGCTCATTATAAAGTGATTTGATGTTAGATTTTGTGAGCCAGTCATTTTTGTCTGTTGCTCTGATCCAAAACCATGAAGGAGTTCTGCCCATTTCCCAATAGTAACAATAAATATTACTCTATTTCTACCGAAGGGAAACATGTTTGGCTGAACTGTTTAGTCTGATTTAAGGAGGGTAAAATAAGATGTACACATCCAGTTATGATTGTATTGGTCTCGTAATTTTATGGGACATATATACATATTTTTTCTCTTGCAGATTTTTGAATCATTATTTTTTTTGCTTTGTTGTTAATCTGCTGGTGCTGTTTAGATCACTATGTTAATGTTAAGTTCTATATATTAGTTTTTAATGGTTTAGGTAAATTGTTGAAAATCTGTTAAATTTCGGTAAATTCATGAAAATTTTTGGTCTTTTATTCACTATAGGTGACGCTCATCTCTATGATATAATCAACTCTGCTGAAGTTGCTGGAAATGGTAAAGTTTATGTTTTAAAGCATACAATCATGTCATTTACAGTCAAGTAAATAATAAAAATGTTTCCATTATTTCAGCAGGAGAAGAACTCAGAGATGTTACATACTCTGTCATTGAAATAAAATCCTCTAAGAAAGAGAGTGAGTCCCACATTTCTACAATGTAAAACATGAGAAACTGACTGAGTGGTTTTATCCCTCATATTGGATGATCTTTACAGGTAGACATCATAGGCCACCAGAGGAGGGCGCTGTTTACTGTGACGTGAAAACAGGATCTGCAGGTACTGTCAATTTCATGTCATCATTACACTAAAGCTTATTACACCTCAGCATAGAGTTCAGTTCATCATCATCTCTATTAGTTAATACCTACAAGCCAACTAATAAGAGGTCACTGTCCTTTAAAGAAAGTTCAGCAAATGTTGTTATTCAGCGCATCCAAACCCAACACATGTGCATATAGATGGAAGTAATTATATGCATTTTTAGAGGGTCGTGGGTCTGCTATTGCCCTGTTTTTTTCTTTTGCTTTGTGCAACCATGAAAACACACCGGCCTCACCGTAGCCCCAATGGTAAAATTGGTCTATAAACGCCAAAAAAACTGAATTTATAAGAAATTAATGCTGTGTGACATAATAAATCGATGTGGAATACAATATTTTGCGACAGAGTTTACAGAATAACTTTGCTCCTTTTGATTTTTATTTTAAATCAGTGATGTTCTTATTGTTTTCCATAGTATACTTTGTAAGCTTTAGCTGTCCTCTGGATTATTTAACTGCTTGCTTTAAATAATGACACACTGTTTGGTCGCTTAAATTCTATTAATGATTCCTGCAGTGTAGAGTTATAGAGTGACAATAAAACCTTTCAATCTTAGATTTCCTTCTTTTCTATAAAACCTTCACCTTCCAATATGTTAATTACACTTGAGAAACACATCTGGATGGAAAAGTATTGTGATTTTGTTCTTTAAAACGTAAGGCATCATAATCAGATTTAAAGTATAATGCTCCATCTCAGAGTAGCAGCAGCTGTTTAAGCAAAAAAAAAAAAGTTGGATATATCCTGTTGCCTAACATTTCAAATAAATAAATAAATAACAATTTCAAATGAGTTTATGTTTTTTTTTTTTTTTTTTTTTTTCAAAAATAATCATCTTACAGCCCAACTTCATCCCATACAGTAGAGAGAGAGAAAAAAAAGTCATATATGGATCTATGAACATTGAGGGTCATTGATGTGTGCTGCAGTTCCACATTCTACCACTAGATGTTTGTATTGCAATTACTATACTATTACTATATTTTAATTACTATCTGGCCAAAAAAAAAGTCGCCACCAAAAAAAAGGTCACTCACTCCACTACTTTGTTGGACCGCCTTTAGCTTTCATTACGGCACGCATTCGCTGCTTCATTGTTTCGATAAGCTTCTGCAATGTCAAAAGATTTATTTCCATCTAGTGTTGCATTCATTTTTCACCAAGATCTTACATTGATGATGGTAGAGTTTCTACAATATCTTTAGATGTTTTCTCTGCTTGATGCATGCCAGTGATTTGACCCTTCTCAAACAGACTAACATATTTTCCACGACCACGGGATGTGTCTTTCGACATGGTTGTTCAGGAAATGAGAAGCAAGACATTGCACCAGTTGGGGTTAAATAACGTGTTGCCAGCTGAAAGATAATCGCCCATGCAGTAATTATCCAATAGGAGGCTCGTACCTATTTGCTTAGTTGAATCCAGGTGGCGACTTTTTTTTTGGCCAGGCCGTGTATTTCTTGTTTGACAAGTTATATCACCTAAACATGGTTTATTTTATGATGATTTGCAATTACTAAATTTAATTCTTTAAGTTTCAAGGTTTATAATCATTGTTGTTTCATAATCATTTATTAACATTGTCCACTGATTTTTTTTTAAATATATTCACAATTTAGTTTTTATATTTTTTTACATATATTCACAATTTAGTTTTTAGATTTTTTTTTACATATATTCACATTTTAGTTTTTAGATTCTTTTTTTACATATATTCACAATTTAGTTTTTAGATGTTTTTTTTACATATATTCACTGTTGGGATCTGGAGTTGTTCCACCTTTCCCCAGCAGAGTGCGCCGTGGGTTCTCTGGGCTGGAGCTCACCAGCACACCTGGAGCTCGTCAGTCCATTAGAGGACCCTCTACTTAAGCAGATGCCAGACCTTTCTTCGACGCCGCAGTGTTAGCTAAGTTTGGTTAGCGAACCTGAGCCTCCTTGTCTTTTGATTTTGTCCCCTAGAGAAAACTGAATTCTAACCAGCCTTTGTCTTGTTGCTCCTAGGAAAACCTGTCTCTCGTGTGAAGCTCTGGGAGAGCTTAACCTGAATCTGCCTGCCTGCCCTAGAGAGCCAAAACTGAAGATCTCACTTTGGAATCCACCTGCTGCTCTCGGAAGGAGAGCTAACCCCTCAATCCAAGGTCTGATCCAACAGTCAGAAGTTAGACGCTGCACCTGCTGAGCACTCTGTCAAACCAACAGTCTCTTGACCCAACCGGTTCCCCCCCTCTGAGAAGAAAGCCTGAAACTCTCCAAGGTATAGTCTGCAACAATCTGAAAATTAAACAACGCTTCCAATCCACCTGGTTAACCAAACTGTCATCTCTGCAGACGCCTGAGAATCTAGCCCGGACCTGTTTCCTGAACGCAGTCTTATTTTGTGCAAACATTTAATAAACTCTGTTAAACTTTTCATCTGTCTCCTGGTAGTGTTCTGCATGTGGGTTTGATTCAGAACCAATCATGACATTCACAATTTTAGCTTTTTAGATTTTTTACATTTATTCAAAATTAGTTTTTAGTTTTAGGATGAGACCCTTTTATAATCAAAAGGGCGAAACTGTTGTTGGAAAATTTTTTTTTGTTCTTTCTTTCTCAGTATATGCTATGCACTCCCCCAAAAAATGTTTTTTCTCAGCTGTTTGTCTCACTTGCAAGGCCACCAAATGTCTGAGTGAGAGATGGTTATAGACAAGACATACCTTTTTCCCATACCAAAACCACATACTTTTTCAAGGTAACTGTTTAACCAAAGTATCTGTTATTGTTTTGACTCTGCCTTAAAAGCAAGGGAACAACTTTGTCTAAGTTAGAACTGGGCAGGCCATCATGCTGTAAATGTGAATATCTTTTTCTCCTTTACTTTGCAAAGTAAATAAAGTGCCGACTGAGTAAATCCATCGATCTCCTTTATTTAACTGTACTAAACAGTTGAAAACCTTTTTTCACACGACAGAGAGGCTAGTATTGTTAGCTCTTAAATACCTCATTGCCAGCCACATGGTAGCATCTGTTTTTTGAGTTCTCTAACCCTTTTGTTCTAACTGGGCCCACCCCAAGAACAGGACCTGCTGGGCCTTCTGACCTAGCCCATTATGTCCTAGTTTTGTTACAATTTATTAGATTCCTGAGTCATTGTTAATTTTTCACTGTAAACTGAAATTAGAAACTTCATAGTTTTAATTGTATTAAAAATCTTTGCAAAAGGGTCATTCTGGTTATTATCTGCTGTTATTTTAAAGGTCACCTTGAATAGATTAAGCTTTAAAACTTGAAAATTCCTCAGACACTCTGGAACAGACTCTTTAAACCTCTTTCCCCTTTTTTTTTGCTTTTATTTACTTGCCCTTATTTCAATAGTGTTTAGTGTTTGCATGATCAGACCTAGTGGTGATGCCAGTCGTCACAGCTGTTGTGACTTTAGTCGTCCCTAGGTTTGGTGACGCTAGTAGCCATCAGGTCATGTGATGCAAGTCCCTGACTAGATATGGTGACAGCACTCACCATCAAGTGTGAACAAGCAAGTTGCCACCTACTATGGCTGCTGCAAAGTTTCTTGCTCCTTCCCAATATCAGATGAACCCAACTAACCCCATGAAGCCTTTGGTGCCAGTCCAAATATTACGCACACATGAGTATGCAGCAAGGGGGAGTTACCTCAAAACTTTACTTCGGGAAATTTCCTTCCTTCTACTTATTAGAAACAATCATATTGTGATGGGGGTTATTATGCTATAAAGGTACCATTGTTTTTTAACCAGTGCCAGTTGAGGTGGCTCGGGCATCTGATTAGGATGCCTCCTGGACGTCTCCTTAGTGAGGTGTTCCAGGCACATCCCACCGCGAGGAGGGCCAGGGGGACACCCAGGACACGCTGGAGGGACTATGTTTCTTGGCTGGCCTGGGAGTGCCTTGGGATTCCCTCGGAGGAGCTGGCCCTAGTGGCTGGGGAGAGGGACGTCTGAGCCTCCCCTACTGAAGCTGCTATCTGGCCCCGGATAACTGGAAGAGGAGGGATGGATGTATTGTATTAGATTATTTGAGAACAAAATCCATAATCAATTGAGTCCTAAACTGTAGTCTTGTCAAAGAAAACTTCAGAATCAGAATCTGAATAATCAAAGAAAATAATGATTTATTCAGAGAGGCTCAGGTTGCAGTCACGTCTGCTAATTGAATTTCAAAACCTTCCTTTGGGGTTTCCACCAAGAAATGTCAGCACTTTAATTTAAGTTAAATGACTTAAAGCTTAAGCCTATAACGTGTACAAAACAAAACAAACAAAAAAATAAAATGAATAAACATAGATGTATAACTTGGTATTTCTGTATTACTAATCATGTCTTTTACTGATTCTTTTATGTATTATGTGTTTATTCCAGTAGTTTGTACTATTTGTCTAGTTGATTAAACATAACTACAAGTTTGGGTCATCAGTAATCTGTCACCATTATGTGATTTGGGAGTTAAAAAGTTCTGCTTTAAAGTGGGAAATCTGCTGCACTGTACTTTATCCACCACAAGATGGAAGTGAAAAGTTAAATATTTTAAACATGAAGCTCAAAGTTCATCTCCTGTTGTAATTTAACACTTATCCTTAATTTGACCCCATTCATGCTGCAGATCACTTTATTGCTGTTAATCTGCCTGATATCCCACCGTTAAACAACTAGAAGCTTAAAACTCCAACTTCATTAAGACCAACTGGTTCCCATGAAGTTCAGTTATCTTCTTGGGGTGGGGATTAGATTTAGAAATAGGGTCTGAACTGAGTTTAGGACAGGTTTAGGGTAGGTCATGTATCAGTTTTGGTCATTATTATTCTTCAGGCAGCTACAGGCTACAAATTATTTTTCCGTTCAGCAGAAAGCAGCCTTATCTTCCTCATCACTGAATGATCTCAAACCTTAACCTTTCGGTGCTGTAGCTCAGCTTTGCAGAACTTCCTTCACAGTGTCTGACTGCTCTTATCTGCTCATTACAGCTTAGTTATTTCTGCATGTGTTAATGAAATAATTCACACTATGATGTTTCATTAGATACAAAGAGGAACTCTAAAGTTGCAAACCTCTCTGTCTGCCTGTCCTCACAGCCCAGAAACCAAACACAAAAGAAGCAACTATAATCATTGCTGCTGGACTGAAAACCTTTTATCTGTATTAGAAACGTATTATTAAAATCACAGACAAATGCAAAATCAGAATGATATAAAATCATACAAACACACTATAAAACACCAAACAATGAACACTGATCAGAGATTCCACTGGCCTTTTTCCTGACCCTACCCTGTACTAATACTGGATGGAGGGAAGGTACTTCTAGAGTTGCAGCAGGAAGTCCAGTCTGTGACTGGCCTTCATCTGGGGCTTCTATGTGTGAGGACCACCTGAGGTCCAGAGAAAGGCTGGTTCCTAGGAACCACAATAGATCTTTAGTCAGAACAGTGTTGTTCAGGATGGTGAGGGGAGGTAGTGAGGGGGAAGTTCTCCTGAAGTCCAAAATCATCTCTATCATCTTGAACATGTTAAGCTCCAGGTGGTTTTGACCTCACCAGTAGACCAGCCTATCCACCTACTGCCTGTATACAGACTGGTCATCATCCTGGATCACACCAATGACAGTGGGGACATCTGCAGACCTGAAGAGTTTCATGGACAGCTGGTGGGTTCACAGAGGTTCTGTCATTGGTGTTAGAAGGAGAAGAGGAGGGGAGAGAGAAAAAAACACCTGGAAAGGTGGTGGTGTGACAGCTCTTGTGCAGCAGAAGATGCTCCCCAGCCTCACCTGCTTCTGCTGGTCAGTCAGGAAGCTGATGGTCCACTGATAGTGAAGGCTGTCAGCATCCTAACTGATGGGGTTGAAGGCTGAGCTTATTCAGAATCAGGATCCTGGTGGATGACCCTGGGTGGTCAAGGATGGTTGCAGAATGGTGTAGGCACAAGATGACTGCATCAACTGCTGAACTTTTTGCTAAATAAAAACTGCAGAGGATCCAGGAGGTGGCCTGTCATGTCCTTCAGATGCTTTAACATCAATACAAGCTTTCTACATATATTTAAGGGTGACATGTCTGTAGATTAACCCCATTATGGAGCTTTGCTTGGGTACCAGGATGATGGTGGAGCTTTTGAAGCTTTTTTCTTTTTCTCATGTTGGAAGACTCTTTTTACATCCAGCTTTCTGATCTCTATTGGATAAATAGAACTTCATTTATTTTGATGCTTTAACATCTAATAAAATAAGGGTGAGCAACTTAAGTCACCTACTTGTTAGTGACTGAAGTAATTCATTTCATTTGGAGCTGAATTGAATTCAGCTCCTTTCTGATTATCATTGTGATCCTCAATGTTCCATGAGTCACGAACTACTGTTTATTAACAGACCAATTTAGCCCATCACAGTGCATAAACACAAAGACAAAGATGACCCACTTGAGGTTGATAGTGCATGGTTGAGCTGCTGTGCAGATAAAAATAAGTCAGCTGAACAATAACTTTAGAAATGCAGGAACCAAAAAAGCTGATCTTTAATACTCTTTGAGGAAAAAATAGGTTTAATTGCACAAATACATTCCCGAACTATGATTTGCATTAACCCTTTCTAAAATCTGTCTTTGTTTTTCTTATAATCGTTTAAATCTGCATATCACAAAGACTAAAATCTTTCTGCAGTGGACAGGAAGTATAACCCACCAATGGCTGCAGTCAAAGCTGTTGCTGTGGGATGAACTTTGGTAAAAACGGAAGGAAACACACAGGCTTTATTTAGAGGTGTTTAGCATGCTGGTATCATATGTAATGTCTAACTTCTCCTTCTTCAAGTTCAAATACAGTAGAAGCCTTTCTGATGAGCTGTGCAGCAGGTCTGGATGTGAGGATGAAGAACGCTCTGCTCTGCATGCTGGTC